AGAAAGCCAAGAATCACTCATGCATTGTACTAGAGAAATCTGAAAAAGTTCAGAAATCATAGACAATTCCGGCGTCGAACTCTGAGCTTCCGATGCTGAAAGCATATCTTCAAGAGCGTCGCGTGATCGAGATCGACAACAGAATCAGCGACGTAAACGAGATCATTCATCATGACGTTGTAAAAGAGTGAAAAAACATAAGAAATCTCAATCATCATTGTGAAGACTTATATTTCCTCTTATTATAAGTCCTTGAGAGTTTGTTGTATGTGTGCGCTATAATACGTATTGTATGTATATTCTACTTTTATTCGACCACTCTTTTAATAAAATTACAACTTACTGAACTAAAAATAACTATTCGATTGCATATATCTTCTACTACATGCCGAAAGATAAGAACAAAACGAAAAAGAAAAGAGACAACACGATAGCCAAAGTACCAAAAAGAAAGAACAGAACGCAACGAAGTAAACTCGATGTCTACGAAGATAAACTGTACATGTTGGATGTAAAGGTTGTGATCAATAATCGTCACAATCATCTGCTTCTGGTTCGTCCTCATCATCAAGTTTTTCGGCTCCTTCTCCTGAATCGACAGCCTCATCTAACTCAAATGATAGTGACAGAAAATTCTTCGACCCAACGTCAAAGAAACATAACCGTGCATTACTAACAGAAATGTAAAATTTCATCAGCAAACATTTTAGGATGATTTACAAATGTGGTGTTTTAAAATCTAAAACATTAGATAAAATGAAAATAACGGAAATTCAATGTATTTCGGCACCGGAATTGAATGCTTCAATGTTAGAATTTTTTCTTACGTCATTCGCGGTGAGAAACGATAAAACACTAAAGCACTTAAACAGCATACGTCGAATACATTGACGATGATGTGAGCAAAAGTACAGTCAGGGTTAAAATCGGAAAAACGGCTACGTCCAAAGAAGCTTCGCAAATATGTTCAAGAGACAATTATTACGTTAGGTCAAGCAAACGCACACTTTCTGAAGGAGCGAAGATCATTCTTTCTTTCAAAATTAATTCGAAACAAAGCTCAGGCCAAAGAAACACTACTTAAATCGTCAATGTTTGACAATGCAGAGTAGGTTTAGAGAAGTAGCTCTTTCCTCTTTTCAAAATAATTTTCTCAACCACTGAACTTGTTGTTCTTTTAGCAAACATTTGTTTGGACATCATTTCTTACAAAAACTTGTCACAGCAAGAAAAGAGCTCAACAATTACGTCATACTCTCGAAGTACAAGCACCCCTAACAAACCGGGGGGCGGCTGAAATATTTCATCGAGAATTGGAGAGTAGTCACAAAAGACGCTTGGATTTTACAGATTGTGAATGGATATAAGATTGACTCTACTTCGCAACCACGCACTCGTTCTAAATGTTTCACACCCGATTTCTCTGATAAAGAAAAATCCATGATCACTGCAGAAGTGCAGAAAATGTGGAAAAGGACGCGATTCAGGAAACGGAACACTCAGACGGCGAG